CAACACCCTCAAAAGCGTTTTGCCAAGGGACCTTACTCACTAGTTCCCTGAGCAGCCTGAAGTCTGCTCTCCTCATGTCCAGGATTGAGGTTTTGCCGACACTTTTCCTCCTGTCAACAGAGATTTTAAACTCCATTGCTTCATGATCACTGTGGCCAAAGTGACCTTCAATCACCACTTCACTCATGGGACACTCTCTTAACAAGCAACAAATCAAGGAGGGCATCTTTCCTAGTCAGCTCTCTTAGTACTTGTACCATTAAATTATCATCCAGGACTTTTAGGAATCTTTAGAACCTGTTTGTGCCAGCTGTGTGGTGTTCTCAGTTAACATCTGGCATGTTGAAGTTCCCCATAAGGACAAGGACTCCATATCTGGAGGGATTCAAAAGTCATGCAGATGTGGTGCTCAGGGACATGCTTCAGTGGTGGGCTTGACAGTGTAGAGTTAGTGGTTGGACTTGATGATCTCGGAGTGTTTTTCCAAGATTCTGTGGTTTTATGATAAGTGTGGAAGGGGTTTTGTAGGTCTGTCCACACCTGCCATAGGACTGCAAGAGGGGATTTAGGATCGCTTTGAACATGTGTAGTTACAGACAGATGGCTGTGAGAGGAAGAGGTTTGTCCTGCTGCAAGAATGACAGGCTCTCACTGCCCTTTTGGTCATTGGTACTGCACTGGGATGGGTGGAAAAGCTTAAAAACTGGGAGCTGGGATGCGGTTGCTTGCTGAAAACCCAGGTGCCTGGGACGGTCTGATGCACTGCTTGTTTTGACCCACATAAAACCCATGGGTGTATTTGTCCCTGAACACCCATCAGCCTGTCAAGCTGTGATGACTAGAAGAAAAAAAGGAATTTATCATTTTATTTTGCTAAGTGATGATTGACATTTTAAAGGGAATATTGTCAAAGCCACGTGTCAAGCAGCCTGACTGCCTAATCTGTGTGGCCCCTAATGACAAGTTAGACTATTACAACTGAAAGAATTTTAAACATCTAATAATTTATAGATCACCACCCAGGCTATTTGCTTTCCACACTTCAGTAAGTGTAGATGAGGAGAGAAGGTGCTTGTATTTCAAGGCAGTTTCACCTTTTTTCGCTCAGTCCTGCATCAGGATGGTGCAGCCCTGGGGAAAATCACAGCCTTCAGCAGAAGCCAGTTAAAATGTTGTGATGAAAACACTCACTTTTACATTGGGGCTTTTTTTTGTCCTCTTCAGTAATTGAATATTTTTTTCTTTTTTAAGACAGCAAGCACCTTCTGTGTCATGTTGGGGGGGTCAGCATCACTTTAATTCCAGGTTATAGCATTACGTGTTATAAATGGACAAATGCCTTCTCACCCAAACACCCAGCAAAGAAAGAATACTTGCACAGCAAATTGAAAGGGCAAGTATGTCCCTAACAAGTGACAGCTGGCCTCATTTCTTTGACTGGCTAATTACTGTCACAGGTGTAGCAGGGCCATATATGAGTGAGTGGGTGCTAGGCCAGCCCCTCCACTGTGGGGATGTGTTTGGAGAGAGGCTGGGAAAGGTGGTGATCCCACGTTTGCTCTGCCTGGTTGATTATTTTAGAGAGGGGAGAGTTGGGGGTTTTTTCTCTTTTTTGTGGTCTCGTTTCAATGTTGTGCTTCTGGTAAACTTCTGCCATGGAGCCTTTGCCCTCCCTGTTTCTTCTTGCCCTACTCCTGGTGCTTGAGCTGTGGGGGCCAGCTGCTGGTGGGCAGGCTCCCAGGGTGATGCTGAGATCCTACTCTGATGCTGCTGGTGCTGCCCCAGGGGTGAGTGATGGGAAGAGCAGACTCAGTTGCCTGGAGGAAACTCCCTTCTTGGGTGCAGTGTCCTGCCTGTTTACAAATCCTTCTCTCCTCTGTGTGGCCTCTATGGATTAAAGCACAGCTGGGCTTTCCTTGTTGTGTTTTGGGCATGGTTTTGTATTGGCTGTGGTCCGACAGTGTAAACTGGGCAATGCTTCTGGATGTAGGGAGGGGTGAAGATTTATTATCACATGGAATAAACAAGGTGGCCTTGGGGCTTGGTCCATGTGCAGGCAAAACCTCAATCCACCATGGTGGATTTGGTGCTCCCTTCCCCTCAGGCTTGAATTGGCATTTCTCTGAGCAGCATTATAAGCATGGGCAGTGGTACTTGGATCTGCAACAGGACTCTCTCTTCTTTATAGGCACAGGAATCCTCTCAGGAATATCGGAAGGTTAAACCAGGTAAGAGTTAATTCTCAGACTAGTCTTTTTTTCTACCCAGAACTTGTTGGGTACCTCAAGCCAACAATAAGTGGTATGGAAAGTCAGGAATAACAACCTGCCCCCAGGGTGGTATGGAGAGGGAAGGGGATGTGGCTGATCAGTACTGGGTGCTGGGGTGAGGAAAAATCAGTGCTAGTGTGGGAGAGAACCTCTGCCACTGTCCCGTGGCTGCCAAATCCCTACCACAGGGCAGGTCCTGGAGGCAGGAGCAATGCACTGCAGCAATTAAAACAAGTAGCAAAAGTTCAACCCAAACTTCAATTGTGCTCCTGTAGGGTAAACCTGTTCTGAACCTGTAACTCTTCTAGCTTTGAGATGGTGTATTTGGAAAACACTATATTTCTTTCTACTTAAGGGAAGGCGCTTCACACTTTGACAAGATACTAATGTTGCTTATCCTACTGAGGCTTTAAGGGCTTCTGGCTTGGCCGAGCCCTTTAAAGCAAAGAGATTGAAAACACCTTCAGGAGAGCTTTATCTCCCATCTCTGTGTATAAACAACAAACATCACCTGTGTGTTGAAACCAAATGTAACAGTGCACTCACTGCTTTTGTAACTCGCCCAGGTGTGGCAATTCCCTGAGCCTTTAGCTTTGATCTCTATTAAATAGCCTAACCCTGCAGATGAGAATCTGCCTCCCTGGGACAAGTGGCACCCATGGTGTGGCTGTGCTGGGACTTCTGTGCTCCTGCATGGCTGTGGCAGGGGGAACTTAAAGCGTGAGAGTGCCCAGCTGTGGGGTGGTAGCAGTGAGGGTACAGCCTGGCTCCACACGGAGCAGGAGGTGGTGGTGGCAGCTAGGGCTTCTCCAGCTTTCCAAGCACTCTGGAGTGGCACACACAGGTGGGGCGAGCACTGATGGGGCAAAAGTTTGGGGTAGGTTTCTGGGGGGTGTGGATGGAAACAGTCACTTGGGCTGGAAGGGTTGGCAGTTTTAGGCACACCCGAGGCTGGTGTGTGGGTGCACACTCAAGTGGCCTCGACCCCTGGGCCTAACACAGAGTCACTTGCACATTCTTCTGCTGATGGATTTGCATGTTGATTGGCAAATGGGAGCAGGAGGCAGCAAAATGGGGAGAAGAGTGACCTTTAAAATAATTTCTGCTAAAAAGGACTGGTAACTCTGGAACGGGGAATGGGGGAAAACTTCGTTGTTGCTTCTTGTCTTCCAGAGCCAAAGTCTCCCTGGATATTGGCATATGTGCCTATAAGAAGCTGCCATAGAGTTCTGAAGGACAAGTATGGGGAGTTTTTTCCTCCAGCATACCGTGGTGATTTCCCCGTAAGCTTCTGGTGCAACTGGACAATCTGGGCAGGCTCCAGAAAGCATATAATAATTTATATTCAAGGCTTTAACGCTAAGGAGGGCTGCAGCAAAAATGAGGATAAAATTCTATTTGAAGGAGTTTCTTCACTGGTGGAAAACAGTGTTGTTTATTCTTGCTGGAGAAAGGAGATGCACGTTTTTGCCACCTTTGCTAAGGCTGTCCATGTTGTGTTGCTGAAGAGGTACTTGCCAAACTGCAGAGATGCACAGTTTAAAGGGAAATACTATATCTTCCAAGACCAGGAAGGTGAATCTTCCTCCACAGATGATGGGATTTCTGAAACTCCTGCTCCAAAACTACCAAAGCAAGACAATGTTTTTCAGTCTGGCTGTGTTGAAAACCTTAGAAATGTGCTGGGCTTGGCAGCCACATGTAGTACCATGAGCCTTGGCAAGACCACAGTGCTAAGTGGTGAGCTGATGCAGGAAAGAGGGATCACTCTGGATACTATGGCTGTGGAAAGTCCTATTGAGCTTATTCCACATGAACATGCAAAGACACTGCTTCTGGAAACAAAAGCTCCTGGTGAGCTGGGGTCTGAGCTGCCAGGGGTTCAGGAAACTCAAGGCACAGGAACACCTGAGGGTATAATCCCCACTGCAGCACAGGATAGCTGGGGGCAGAGTCTCTCTGTGAGTGGGGACATCACTGTGGGTTTTGGTTGTATGCACAGGCTTTCAAGTGTGCATTTGGAAACTCCTTTGCTCGGTGCCTTGCATGCGGCAGAACCTCTTTTGCAGCCAGCAGGTGTGAGTCTGGAGGACAGCCAGTCTGTCCTGAGCGCTACCTTGAAGCCAAAAGGTCTGGATGACCTACAATTTACTATTAAACCAACACGCACAAGTTGCCTGGACTTGGCTGCACACTCACAGTCTGTGTCTCCTGGCAGAAGGGAAAGCCAAGAAAGCACAGGTACCACCAGGAACCAGCAGCTCAGCACAGTCAGCTTGGAGAAGGGTGAGAGCCATCCCCAGCTGAGCATCCCAGCTGATGGCCCAGCGAGCAGTGAGGCCGAGGGCCTTGCACAGGGCCTGACACCCAGCCTGAGCAGCCACTATGAAATGGTAAACAAGGACCACTTGCATCTGCTACCTGAGAGAAGCCCGAGCTGCCAAAGCAGTTTAAGGCACTTGTCCATACCTAAATCTGAGCTGGGAACAACTGGCCTCCAACATACAAAGCTCATGGATATTTCCCTGCTGGAAAGCTCTAGGGGAGTTCCTCTGCCCAAGGACCGTGTGAGCAGTGGCTCTGGGGTGGCACCAGCTTCCCTGTCTGACAGCTGGGGGCTGAGGAGAGAGGAGCACATGGTGCCTGTGCAGCATCAGGACACAGCTGCTAGTGACAAACTGGCTCCTGCCTCCATCCTTGGGGGATGTGAAATGCAGAAAACCACAGAAGCTCTTCGAGTGGGTGCAGGACAGCAGAGAACTGCCTCCTTTAGCACCGGTCCTGCACACCCTGATCTTCCTGCAGCTCCACGGGGAGGAACACTATCAAGAGACCAAATGCCTTGGGATCCCTCTGATGTATCCAGAAACACCCAGATGCCAGAAGGACAGCAATGGAAACATGCTGGTAGGTTTTTCAGTACTCTGAATTTTGGTGTAACCCATCTTCAGAAGGCCAGAAGTACTTGGTGAGGGCAAGGCCAAGGCTGTGTCTTTCACCTGCAGTCTCCACCTGCCCATCATAACCTGCGCTCTGGGGAGAAGTGTGGTGGGTTGACCCTTTCTGGACACCAGGTGCCCACCAGAGCTACTCTCACTCCCCTGCTCAGTGGGACAGGGGAGAAAAAGTATAACAAAAGGCTGGTGGGTTGAGATGAGGATGGAGAGAGATCACTTACCTGTTACTGTCATGGACAAACCAGACTCAACTCAGGGAAATCAGTTTAATTTATTATCAATGGTATCAGTAGGATAATGAGAAATCAAACCAAATCTTAAAAACAGCTTTCCCACATCCCTCCCTTTTTCCCAGGCTCAACTTCCCTCCTGGTTTCTCTACCTCCTCCCCTGACCTGAGAGGTGCAGGGGGACAGGGAATGGTGGCTGTGGTCACTTCATTGCACATTGTCTCTGCTGCTCTGTCCTCCTCAGGGGGAGGACTCCTCATACTCTGCCCCTGCTCCAGTGTTGATCCCTTCAAAGGAGTGCAGTCCTTCAGGAACAGGCTGCTCCAATATGGGTCTGCTGTGGGATTGCAAACCTGCCCCACTGTGGGCTCCTCCCTCCACAGGGCCACAGGTGCTGCCAGCAGCCTGCTCCAGCAGAGGCTTCCCATGGGGCTACAGCCTCCATTGGGCATTAGTTCTCATGGGGGTTTCTCCAGGGGCTGCAGGGGCACAGCTGCCCCTCCATGGGCTGCAGCTGAACCTCTGCTCCAATGCCTGGAGCCCCTCCTTCCCCTCTTTCTGCACTGACTTTGGTGTCTGCAGAGTTGTTTCTCTCACACAGTCCACTTCTTCCTTCTGGCTGCTGTTGTGCAGCAGATTTTTTTCCCCCACTTAATTGTGTTATTCTCGAGGTGCTGCCACCATTGATGATGAGCTTGGCTTTGGCCAGTGGTGAGTCCATCTTGGAGCTGGCTGGCATTGACTCTGCTTTGTGCAGCCCCTCATAGAAGCTCAGCTCCAATTGTAGAGTGGATATGTGGCTCCAGGGGCTGAAACTGTAGAGATCTTGCAGCAGGAGAGGGTCTGAAATGGTGCCTCTTCTGTGGCAATTTGCAGTGCTCCTGGAAGTGTGATATCCATGTTGTCTTGGTGCATATAATGACCTTTGATTACATGTTTCTTTTCTGTGTTTCTGATGTGTCAGAACTGGGACCCCCCTGGGCAATGAAGTACTTTCCCCTCAGGAGCTGCCATCTCATCTTTCGGGATGGGTCTGGGGTGTTTTACCTTCCGCTGCATTCTGACATTAAAACCAACATCTGGTGCAACTGGACCATCTGGGCAGGCCCCCAGAAGCACATTGTCATCTATATCCAGGGATTTGAGGGGAGTGACGGCTGTGGCAGCAACCAGGACAAGATCATCTTCCAGGGGGTCTCATCAAGTGTGGAAACCAAAGTGGTGTATGCCTGCCACAACCGAGGCACTCTGGTCTTTGCTACGCAAGCTACTGAGGTCCAGGTGTTGTTTCTGTCAGGGAGTGGCTCCCGAAGCCATGAATACAAATATTTTAAGGGACAGTATTACATATTCAGGGACTCTGAAGCTGTGAGCTCTTCAAACGATACCATAGCAGCTCTCCAAGAGCCTGTCCAGGAGACCTCTAAAAAAGAGAGCTGGAGGACAGTGGCAACAAAAGGTTTCGTGTCCATGCTCAGTGCCTCTCCAAGCCCACCAGCTGCACCTGCCGGTGGCAGGATTCAGCCTGATCTTGTGAGCCCAGATGGAAAGGCCCAACATCCTTCTGATCTCATGGAAGATGCTCGGTTTGGTACTAACCTGAGCAAGCTTGACCTGAGTGAGCATGGTCAGCTGCAGGATGAAACTAAGCTGGAAAAGAGCCTTCAGCATGGTAGCACTGAGGGCAGAGAAACTGAAGATGACGTGTTGGTGGAGACAGCTCCAGCTGGGCAAGACACTGGGTGTAAAGCTGAGCCATCTGCCTTGGGGCTGACCAAGGGGGATGTAGAGCCAGTAGCTGCCCTCGCCACCGCAGTCCCAAGTCACTCAACTGGTTTTCCTTTCTCAGAGATGCCCAGCAGCAACACAGGTGTCTCTGACAAATCATCCAGTCTGGGTCAGGCCAGTGACAGCCTGTCAGAAGAAGTGGCTGCTGCTACACATCACACACAGGCACCAGTGCTGGAAGAGCCACCACTAGACACCAGTACAAAACCTTCTCTCTATCCCTCTCCTGGTGTGACTGCTGGTGATACGGTGTCTCTGGGGGAAAGGACTGAAGAGCTTTTTGGTAAGGTGGTTTTTTGAGTTATCTGTGACTGAACTGATGCCTGACATTGTGTGATATCCATCTCCAATGATGCATCACTCTCTTAAGAGGTTTTATTTGTAGATATGGCTGTTACCTTCAGTTGGCCCATACAGTAGCACTCTTGACTTTTGCATCCAGGGCAGGAGGTACTTGAGAAGACAGAATTACCTGCTATAACATAGCTATCTATGAGATGACACTACTCATGATAGGGACAGGCTGTTTTCTAATCCAGGTGTTTTGAATTACCCATGGAGGAGCCAGCCTCTCCACTGTGAATGTTATCTTGGCTTTAAACATCTCTGGCTTGCATTGATTCTTATGTAGCTTGTCACAGTGCTCCCAGGCATGATCACAGAATCTGAGCTCCAGAAGTTGGAGAAGGGGGGGAAAAAAGGCTTTTATCTCCTAGAAGTTGATGGCAGACTACTTTCACAGAAATATTTAGCCACTGATATACATTAATTTCTGCCAGAAGGTAGAAGAGAAGATGTTTTCAATTGGTGTTTCCTCCCCTCCAAACTGTTCTTGCCCCTCCATTGTAGATTTTATTTAGGTTTTTTCTACATTTTCTGGCACATAATGCAAAAGCAATTTTGGTCTGTTGGGCTCCAAGGCGGCTCCAGTGGCTTCACAGGGATAACACTTCATCCACAACTAGAAATGGAAATGAGGCTTGGGGTGATTTCTTTCTAAAGACCACTTTCTACTACAGAGGAGAGCAGATTGTATTTAGAGCTCGATATTTAATTTCAGTGTAAAGAATAGAAAAAAACTGGAAAAAAGGAGCTGGCATGTGGCACTCTTCTTGCAAAGTGCCGCAGACCTCATGTCCTTTCCCTCCCCCATTACTGGTACATTGAGTTCAGCAGCCTGATGCTTTCCCTTTCTTTGACAGATCTGTTTTCTGCCCTGGCATCTCTGGAGAATGGCACAGCACTGCAGTCCCAGCACCACCCCGGAGGTGAGTTGTGCAAGGAGCTGAGCGTGTCTTAAAACACTGTCCGAAGTTCAGTGAGCTGATTGGGGCTGTGCCAGACATCACCTGCTCATTAAATTTAGAAATCAGTAGGAGTTGTTTCTGAGTAGTAACCACTTTGAAGATGTTAGTTTTTAAGATACCACTGCAATCCCACAGTTGTGCTTTCACCACTTTGTACCTCTCCTGGAGAAACCTGATTTCACATGCCTGTCATAAATGCTGGCTTGTTCAAGTTTAAGCATTACTTGTTGGCTGTTTAAAGAAGACTTTTCTAAGGTGAATGAACTTCAATTCCTCCAATACATTCCAATGGACACCTTGTGACTACTGGAATCAGAAACCTGCAGAAGTCCTGCTCCTCAGACCAGGGAGAGAAGCAAAACCCCCTTATGGGACAACTAGCAGCTAGGCAGCATAATGCTGGGCTTCTATGGTAGAGCAAGCCACAGAAACAGCTTGCAAAAAAGAGCCGATACAGAAGGAGCCTGAGCTCTGAACCTGAGAAACATTGATGAATTAAATAGGTTTTAAACAGCAGACTGCAAAATTTGTGCCAGCCTGGATCCAGCCAGACCATTGCAGTTTATTTGAGCTGATCCCAGAGATGGGTGAGAGAAGTGGGCTTTTAGATTCCGTCACAAATTATGACCATACCTTTGGGAAACAGAATAGCTAAAGACATGTGAATGTGATTGGACATGCATTATTTATACTTTTTTCATGGAAAGATCAATTCTGATCACCTGTTACTCAACAACTTGTTCTACCTGATGCATAGCCTCTGGAAACACCCACGTGGCACTGACTTGCACAAGCATGTCCTTATGGATGTGTTCTGCCAGTGCTGATATTTTAGGACTAACTCATTTAAGGAGCCTGTCGGTGTTATGTGGATTTGAACATGCAGCATCTTGTGTCTTCTGGTAGATGTGCTGTTTGAAGTAACTATGGAAGTCAAACCCAAGGACTGGATTCCTCATGGTGGAAGTGAGCTCCAAAAGGGTCTTCTCGAATCTATGAAGAACCATGTAAGTCTGGGTATGGGGAGGTGGAGAAAAACACATGTAATGTCCCAAATCTTCAATTAGAAGAGACCATGCTGTGCCATGCATTCCAGAGATTTTCTGCTAGAGCCACATGATGAACCAGTATCTTATTTGTTTGTGCTGTTCATTATCTGAGGCCAATTCTGATGCCTTGGCAGGGGTACCTGGCTGCAGTGCCTGGTGTTTAGCCCTTCATAGCACCATGCCATCACAAGGCAGCAGAAAAGCACTTCAGATACAGGGACACAACCAACTGAGGGCTGCAAGTTGCCTCTGGAAATGGGGCAGCCTGTAGCCAAAGCCTAGAAGTGAGCAAGTGTGCGAGCATCTGCTTTCAGGGCTGCACCTAAACTTCCTTTCTGGAATGCAGACTGGAGGAGCTACAGGGTTCAGCCTCCTGCTTATCCTAAAAAGCTGCTATCCTTCAACCGCTGCTCTGCAATGGCTTCATACCCACTTACCTGGGGCTACTATTGCCCTTCCTTTTTCCAAATTCACTTTTGTGTTTGGGAGCTAAGCTGAAGCTAAGCAGATGGGAATAATTAGTGTTCTCCTAAAAAAAAAGCTCAGAGCAGTGGGCTTTGGGACATCTACTGCATCCCAGGTGGTTTGTGAAGGGGAAGAACAGGATAGGGAGTTAGACTGAGAAAAGAAACTGCTGTCATACTCCTGTCAACTATCAAATCAGCACTGGTCGCTCTGTTTCTTTGCAGATACAGAAGAACCTGAAACTTTCTGCCAACAGAGTCAATGAAATAAAGTTAAATGATGTCAAAAGGTAGGGTTACTGCTGTGCTGCTGTCTTGGCAGGTGACTGCTATAACCTGTAATATTTCTTTGATTGTATTGTCTGGGTTCTCATTCTCCTTCCCCAGGCAGACACATGTGCTTTCTCCTCTCCTGTGATCTGTAACTTGTCCTGAAATTAGAAAAAAAAAAAAAATCTGTTTTCTAGAGGAAAGATGGTGAAAACTGATGTTTAGTGCTAGCTGGGGCCTACATAGGTCTAAGATGGATTTAAACTCTGGAGAAAAATGAGAATTCTCACACTTGCCCCACAAAGCCTGCTGGATAAAGCTGGGAGCTGCCAGCAAGGTCCTGCTGCACTTGGCTGAGGCTTATCTGGGACTTCAGATTGCCACCACAATTCACTTTACATAAATGTCTCATCACTTCAGCCTAGCTCCAAATGAGGAGTTGGGCTTTCCTTTTTCCCTCGGTCCAAGTGCAAAGCTGCCTCTTGCCACAAATAATTTTTGCAAAAGCCTGCAGCACCACGATCCAATAGGAGTGAGTGGAAGGTCTAAATGGGCTATCAGAGCTGGTGGGCCTGCAGTGACTCTTCCCTCCTGCCTTACCCTGGGCTCTCCCCCACCTGCAGCACAAGGGATGCCAACCTGCTGCTCACCTTCTGGCTGCACCTGAAGCCGGAGGAGAGGAATGTGTCTCTGCTCCTGCGCTCCCAGCTGGAGGAGCTGCTCGGCACCTCAGTCGGAGCAGAGAAGCTGCAGCTTGTTTCGCTGTTTGTTGAAGGTAGGTGGTTCACCTTTTTTTCCCTGGGAGAAACCCTTTTATGCCAAGGCTGACCTGATTTAGAGCATCTATTCCCCATCACAGACGTGAACGAGTGCAATGCCGGGGTTGGCCTCTGCGGAGAGGAGGCAGAGTGCTTCAATGGCGTGGGCACCTACCTCTGCCGCTGCAAACAGGGCTATGAGGATCATTCTCCCACCAAGTCCGGCACCCTCTGCATCCGCACTCCCCGATCAGGTAGAGGACAAAGCAGCAGTTCCGCTTTCTCTTGCAGCTGGGTGTTTTCTTGTATGTGTGGGTGAGTAATTGGTGCACTATTATATGTGATGTTACTGAACTGGTGGCTTTAGATGTCCTTATATAGATGTATAATATCTTTGCAAGGCAGTTTGCAGCTGGCACTATAAGCTCTCCATGAACCTCCCTTTCCCCAGTCTGCTACTTTCTCTATATCAGGGTTACAACTTGGCACGTGAACCTTGAAGTTATAAGCAAGGTCAAGGGTGATTTATGAGCTACCTCTGCTGTAACTGATGTGATCAGCAAACTTAGTCACTCCTGGTAGTGCCCTGTGTTCTCCTGTCATACTATGTAGATCTTAGTGAGAAGGACATTGATGTTCCTGGTGTCCACCCCAGAGCTCCCCTGATGTATTTGACACAAAGCTAAGCAGATGGCACATGGTGCTTGACTATAATCAGAGATAGCTAATCCAATCTTGCAGAGTAATGAGGCCTTGCAGCCTGAAAAACAGCGATATTCTGCAACTTGTACTCAAAACTCTGCTGCTGCTTTACCAAAACTACTTCACATCCCTGCAGTGGCTTAAACCTCAATGTGAGTCAAAATACATAACTGTGAGCCAAATATAATTTCTCACCCATCCTACTGACTGCAAGTTAATTAACCAGTTGTGCAGTCTAAGTCTATCCAGATCAGCTGGTTATATTCAGGTACAGATAATTTTATAAACTCATGTTTATCCATTGGGTCATAGAGAGGGTCCCTTCAGGCCTGGATAGGAACAGCAGCAGGTCTTTTAGTCCCTGTGGGTTTTACAATGGCTCTACTCTGTTGGGGTTCTCCTGGGGTAACACCATGCCTGTGATGTTCCTGCAGACTGCCTCTTGGTCTAAATATTTCTTTGGGATGGATGTTTGGGAGAGATGCTCTGCCCTGAGGGCAGGTGTGAGTGAGGGTTTCTGGACAGCAGGAGGCAAGAAGAGGTTGAACTTCCTGGAGGAGCACCCACCAATATAGGTCTCACCCCTGAGTGCTGCAGTCACAATGTCGGGGACTTTGTGAGCACACTGGGGGCCTCTGGGGCAATGGCCCCTTGGATGAGGCCATGGCCTTTCTCTGGCAGGGATCAGCTTCTTCCTCCGTCACACTGACATCCTGGTGGGGGCAGCCATCGTGTCTGTCCTGATGATGCTGGTGGCTGCTGGTATCCTCTGTGTGACAGCCATGTGGAGACGGCACCCCAGGAGGAGCCCAGGCCTCGAGGAACCATCAGTGAGGGCCGTGGAGGAGCCAGAGATGGAGTTGCATGACCTGGGGGAGTGCCTGCGCCTGGACCCCTTCCAGCTGAAGCTGCGGGCCAGGCCCCCTGAGTGGCTGTGGAGTGTCCATGCCCACCATGGTGAGGTGTGCCAAGTCTTTCTGGAGCAGTCTTCCCCACTCTGAGGGAGTTGCAGGTCTTCCCCAGCCACCCTGTGGCCCCAGTGACCTGTGCAGTCATTCTTGCCTTTCCCAGCTGACACAAGCCACTGGCTGTGCAAACCCTTCTGCTGTGTTTTAGGGACCATGAATATCCCACAACAGTGTTCCTAGTCTTGTAATTTGATTTTTTTTTTAATATTCACTCAGCAAAATGTTTGCTCCACCCTACCGTACATCTGCTGATTTACCCTGCTCAAGAGCTGCACAGAGTTGTCAGTATGTGAAAATTAAACACTTTTTTTTTTTTAAGGAAAAAAAGGAAATGAGATGTTTTGGTGCTTAATTTAAGAAATTAAAAGTTATTCTGCATTCTGCTCAGTACTGCCTGCTTTCTCCTGCCCCTCAGGCAGAGCTCTATGGGAAGCCCTGGCATGACTGAGGATCTGTGGGGTGTTACTTCCACCCTGGCTGAGGAACACCTCCAGAACTTGATTTAAAGTTTTGATGAGAATCCTGGTCATGTTATGGCAAGTGGGCCCCTGCTCACTGAATGATGTGGACGGCATTTTTGGTGCTTGCATGGATGCTGTTTGTCCGGATGCTGGCTGCAAAAAGCACCACTACCCCACCAGACGTAAAGCACAGGTGTCTCCTCGGCTTGTCCTGCAGCTGGAGGCTGCTAACTTCTTTATTTGTTTGGTTTAAGGGGGTTAAAATCTGAATTACCTCTTTTCTCCGAGAAGTGTGTATGGTGTGGTGGCAAACGCACCACTGGAGGGAGCTGTCTGCCACCAAAAACCCAGGGAGGGCGCTGGATGCAGCTGGCCTGGGAGACGCTGCCAGATGTGGGACACGGCTGGAGCTGGGGATCCCTGAGTGAAATAGGAGCAGTTCGTGCAGCTTGTGGACAGTGTCTTTGTGCTTGTTGAGCAGCTTTGGCCAAGCAGTGCTGTGGAGGTGTGGGCTGAATGAAGCGGTTTGCTCATGCACATATGCTCAGCTCAGGGTTTGGAAAAGGCCCTGCTGTGTTTCTCTGAAGGGAAATGGTGAGGATATGGGTGAAGAGATCTTTTCCTAGAATAACTCTTTTCCTTCCCCTGCTCTCCAACCCTGCCACCCTCAAAAGGCAGTTCTTTTATCTTAGTTGTTGAACTGGGGAAGAAGCAACATTTGCAGTGTGGAGGGGGATTTGCCAGAGGAGGGGGCTGTGGTACAGATGGGGGCATTATAAATGGCAATGTTGTGAAAATCAGGTGAGAGCATGTTATTTGCACTGAGATGATAAGCAAGCGTCCCCTGAGCTTGGCTGGCAGCTGCAGTGCCCCTCTGCCAAGGGGTGACTGTGTTGTTCTCCAATAACAGGCTCATCCAAATTAGCTAATGCTGATGGGGGCCCCTCCTGCCTGTGGAGATGTGAAGCAGAACTAACACCTCTCTGCACAAACTCCCCTAACAGCAACTCACTTTAGCACTGTTTAGTGCTACCCAGGTTTGGGTACTGAGAAGGGTAGAGAAAAATGGCTCTCCTAAAGACATCCTGATCCTTGCTTCCTTTGACATATGTGGAATGATCAGCTCTTATCTGTTTTCTTTGCAGCGGCTTTCAAAGTATTTTGCAAATAGCAGACAATTAAATGCAAACATCTCCCTTGGAGGCAGATAAGTAGGTGTAATTTTCCATTGTAAAGAGAAGGAAACCATTAATAGGTTTGCACAGAGTGTGCTTTTTTCATCACTGAGATCAAAGAAAAGCAGCAGGGGCTTGGCCTTGGATTTGGTCAGTCATAATCTCCCCTTTTCCCTCCTTGGTTCCATAAAGGGAACTCGGGAGCTCTTCAGGTTGGAAACTCTGCTCTCTCCCAGTAAGTTAAGGTTTGGATACCAAATTCAAGAAATGAATGAGCAGATTGATGCTTCTGCTCCTTTCAGTTTTCTAGGAGCAAGGTGAGCCTCACACTGTGCTCCTGTGTGGGAGGCCAGCTCATCTAATACAGCTTTAGTCTGCTCTGTAACCCAGGCATGAGGCTCTTAGTGGACCATCTTTCCTCGCAGCTTTTCATCCAGACAAAAGTGTTCTGCTGATGCTCCTGCGCTGGCACAGGGGATGGAGTAAAAGCCCAGAGAAGAAACGTGCCCAGGCAGGGCTTTTGCTTTCTGCAGCCAAACCCATGACAGCAAGGGGCATCTGGGTTTTGTGTGAAAGCAGGAGGTGGAGATGGTGCTTGCCCTCATGGCTGTGCCTTGGAGACATGTCAGGCTTTTATTGGAAGCATCTAAGGTGCATGTGTGATCTGTGTGCGAAACACAGCAAGACAGATCCAGACATCAAGCCCATCATAAGCAATAGGTGCTGTGGTTTCCCTGTTACAAATATCCACCATTTCAGTTCCCAGTAATGTTACCTTTTATTTTCCATTCTGTCCAAAAGAGTATCATGCAGCCCTCTTTTGCCTTGTGAATGCCAAGCTGGCTTTAGGAAGAACCCATCCCTCCTTTCTTGCTCTCCCAATTGATTTGAGAGGGGCTGACTTCACAGAATCACAGAGTGGGTCAGGTTGGAAGGGACCAGAGTGGATCACCTGGTCCAACCTCCCTGCTCAAGCCAGGGTCATCCCAGAGCACATGGCACAGCATTGTGTCCAGGTGGTTCTTGGATATCTCCAGGGAGGGAGACTCCACAACCTCTCTGGATGATCTGTTCCAATGTGTGGTCACTACCCAGTAGAGTTATGTTCAAGTAGAACTTCCTGTGCATCTGTTTTTGTCCATTGCCTCTTGTCCTATTAGTTGGCAGCACTGAGAAGAGACTGATCCATCGTCTTGGCACCCTCCCCCCAGATACTGATAGACATTGATGAGGTTCCCTCTCAGTTGTCTCTTCTCGAGGCTGAACAGGCCCAGATCCCTCAGCCTATCCTCACATGAGAAATGCTCCAGTCCCCTAATCTTCTTTGTGGCTCTCCACTGGACCTGCTCCAGGAGCTCTGTGTCTCTCTTGTCCTGATGAGCCCAGAACCGGACACAGCACTCCAGGTATTGCCTGACCAGGGCTGAATAGAGAAGCAGGGTCACCTCCCTCAACCTGCTGGCAATGTTCTTCCTAATGCACCCCAGGATACTGCTGGCCTTCCTGGCTATAAGGGCACTGCTGGATCATGGACAGCTTGTTGTCCATTGGGACTCTCAAGTCCTTTTCTGCACAGCTGCTTTCCAGCAGGTTGGCCCCCAGCCTCTACATGGGATTGTTCTTCCCCAGGTGCAGGACCCTCCATTTACCTTATCGATGATTTAGATGAGCAGATTGAGTCCACCATCAGCAAATTTGCAGATGACACTAAGTTGGGGGGAGTGTTGATCAGCTGGAAGGCAGGAGGGCTCTGCAGAGGGACCTGGACAGACTGGAGAGTTGGGCTGATTCCAATGGGATGAGGTTCAACAAGGCCAAGTGCCGGGTCCTGCACTTTGGCCACAACAACCCCCTGCAGTGCTACAGGCTGGGTACAGAGTGGCTGGAGAGCAGCCAGGCAGAAAGGGACCTGGGAGTTTGGATTGACAGGAAGCTGAACAGGAGCCAGCAGTGTGCCCAGGTGGCCAAGAAGGCCAATGGCATCCTGGCCTGTGTCAGGAACAGTGTGGCCAACAGGTCCAGGGAAGTGATTCTTCCCCTGTACTCAGCACTGGTGAGGTCACGTCTTGAGTGCCGTGTCCAGTTCTGGGCCCCTCAGTTTAGGAAGGATATTGAGGTGCTGGAGCACATCCAGAGAAGAGCAACAAGGCTGGTGTAGGGACTCAAGCACAAGTCCTATGAGGAGAGGCTGAGGGAGCTGGAGTTGTTCAACCTGGAGAAGAGGAGGCTCAGGGGAGACCTCATCACTCTCTACTACAACTCCCTGAAAGGAGGTTGTAGGCAGGTGGGGGTTGGTCTCTTCTCCCAGGCAGCTATCATCAGTAAGACAAGAGGGCATGGTCTTAAGCTGTGCCAGGGGAGGTTTAGGTTAGATATGAGAAAGAAATTCTTTACAGAGAGGGTAATCAGACATTGGAATGGGCTGCCCAGGGAGGTGGTGGATTCTCCATCCCTGGAGGTTTTTAAGATGAGACTGGATGTGGCACTTAGTGCCATGGTCTAGTAACCCCGGTGGTAGTTGATCAAGGGTTGGACTTGATGATCTCAGAGGTCCCTTCCACCCCGGCTGATTCTATGATTCTATGAATTTCAGACTGTTCTTCTCTGCCCATCTCTCCAACCTGTTGAGGTCTTTCTGAAGGGCTGCACAGCACTCTGGGGTATTCCCACACTGAATACCCAGTACTTCTGGGTACTGTCCCATACCACTCTGGGGTATCAGTTACTCCTCCCAGCTTTGTGTCCTCAGTGAACTTGCTGAGGAGGCATCTACCCCTAACTTCCTTCCCTCTGCTGCAGGTCAGGGTATTGGCATTTTCTCTTTTCTCTCATCTGCAGTGGAATGAATTAATAGAAAATAAAACATGACAAATCTGCTGAATCTGTAAATCTGAATTTGGTCACTGCAGTCAGAGATTGACTGGAAAGCTCTGCTGCTTCTGACATCCAAAATGAATTTGTCACCTCGCTGTGCAGTACTCTGCTTGCTCACAGCCCTTGGCCATATGAAATGACACACTCTGTTGATTTATGGGTCATCACAAATGATTTTTTTTTTTTTGCAGTAGGAACTGTTCTCTCATGCATTATTGCTGCACGATTGTGATGTGTGCAGAGATTTCAGAAGTTCCATGATTTACTTGGAGACTGGAACATGTCCTGGGAGCTGCAGGGGAGGAACAGTATTTGAACATCAGCTGATTTTTTTTTTTTTTTGAAGACATTTACTAAGCCCGATTGAACACATTCTTCCCAAATGCTTCAAGTTCACCTGTTTTTTTCCCCAGGTTTTGAAGCCAGCAGGGCAAGCCTCACCTAGCTGCAGAGCACTGTTCAAAGCACTTGGACACAAGTCATCAAGTTAGGGCAGAAGATGTGGAGGCAGCTCCTTGTGGGA